CCCCTAAAGTGAGTCTTTTCTTATTTATTTTATGTAAAATGTCAAACACTGTCTTTGCAATGAACCAATCAGTGATCACTTGATCGGTATCGATCAATATAAATATAAATCTATAGGCAGCCTTGATTCTTGATGCTTTTAAAAAAACATTTGAACACCTGTTTCTTTTAGCTACTGTCAGATGTTAGTTTTTTGTTATGTGTATTCCACTGTTTTTACATGTACGTTTTATGCTTGTTATGTTTTAAAGTTTTTCTTGCTTTTAWTGTGAAGCACTTTGTGATTTTGTATCTATAAAAGGTGCTATATAAATAAACTTTACTTAATTAAAAATATGTTTGTGCAAACAACTGCATGAACCAGATAGAAGAGTGAACATTAGCATCATGAAACATTTGTCCTTCTTATTACAAGTTTCCCTTCAGGTTTATTTTGTATATTTTTTCTCCTTCTTGCTAGGGGAAGCTGACAATCCCATCATGCATTTCCAATTTCCTGTAGCTCAGGTTTTCTATTCTGTTTTTTAACTAGTTTTGTTTGCCCTATTGGAAAGTTTTTCCCACTTTAAATGAGCAAACATTTCTCATTTGCAGAAAATTGTGTTGTTTCTAAAACAGAGTTGTTGTTTTTTTATTTGCACCCTGGATGAAAATTGTTTTGAACYAAATCTATCTTTGTATGTGTCGGGTTTGGAAAAAACAAATCTGTGACTGCACAGCTTGATTACTGAACAATGGAACAGACTTTTGTTATTTAAACATGTCTGTTCCTGTAAGATACTGGTATAAGGATGAATGATTTGTAGTTTTTGTAATCTTAAAGTCTTGAATGTGATCAGTTCTTCTGATGTTGTAAAGAACATAGAGGAATGCATCATATTTCTCTCTCTCTCTCTCTCTCTCTCTCTGTCTTTTTTTTTTTTTTTTTGCTTGTTAATTTAGTTTGAAAGCTTTTTCTTTTTCTTTTTTTACTGTTTCATGCTGTGAGCTTGTTTTTCAGAGAAGCGCAGGACACACCCACCTTTCTGGGTCTTCACTTCAAAAACCTTGGCTTCCTCGCCCGATGTGAAGTGTTTGAAGTAGGAGCAGTTTCTTACTGGAAGACAGGAAGGGCAACAGAAGGATGATGAAGAGGAGGTGACAAAGAGAGACAGGAAGAGAAATGAACTGGGAGAGGCAGAAAACAGATTGTATCCCTTTGTGCTTCCAATGCAATAATTAAAAAAAACTCTCTGTGAATCTTATTAGCAAGCTAAAAATGACACTTGTACGCCACAATATCTGGTACAAACCTGATTATTATCTAGTTAMTACCTGGTAGCTTATGAGTATGCACCTGGTATTTTCCAGTTACATAATTGGTACATGCCTTGCAGAGTTGTAAAGTAACTAAGTACAAATACTTCTTTACTGTACTTAAGTAGAATTTTTGGGTATCTGTACTTTACTTGAGTAATTATTTTTCAGCGTACTTTTTACTTCTACTTCTTACATTTTCACACAATTATCTGTACTTTCTATTACATTTTTTTAAATAGGCAAGAAATAGAAAGTTGTTACTTTTATTTCATTCGAGCTTGTTATTGTAAAAAATAAATACTATCCATATAAATTGTGTCTCCTAGATAGAGTGGATTTAAATGTGGTTGAATGAGAAGTACAACTATATAAAACTCTGACACCATATAAGTTTGTACACAAACAAATGATGTCACACTCCAGCAGGACATAATCATTAAAATTGAAGGACTGTACTTAAGAAGTATTTGTATTTCATGAATTATATTATTGCATTTGGTCCACAGCCCTCAGATTTTCATTCTGGGGAAAAGATTTGGTCACCCTTAATTTATGTATATAAACTGAAACAGCTAGACCAGTGCATCCTGAATTTAATATTAATTAATTATTTTAATACATCAGTCATTTCTGCATTTTT